CAGAACGTGAAGAATCAGTGGTATCTACATCTGCAGAACGTGAAGAACCAGTGGCATCTACACCTGCAGTACGTGAGAACAAGTGGCATCTACACCTGCAGAACGTGAAGAACCAGTGGCATCTACACTGCAGAACGTGAAGAACAGTGGCATCTACATCTACAGAACGTGAAGAACCAGTGGCATCTACATCTGCAGAACGTGAAGAACCTAGTGGCATCTACATCTGCAGAACGTGAAGAAAGCAGTGGCATCTCCACCTGCAGAACGTGAAGGAATCAGTGGCATCTTACACCTTGCAGAACTGAAGAACCAGTGGGCATCTACATGCTGCAGAGCGAGAGAGAGAAGAACCAGTGGCATCTACATCTGCAGAACGTTGAAGAACCCAGTGGCCATCTACATCTGCAGAACGTGAAGAACCTAGTTGTGATTACATCGCCGAACGTGAAGAACCAGTGGCATCTACATCTGCAGAACGTGAAGAACCAGTGGCATCTACATCTGCAGAACGTGAAGAACCAGTGGCATCTACATCTGCAGAACGTGAAGAACAGTAGGATCTACATCTGCAGAACGTGAAAACCAGTGGCATACTACATCTACAGAACGTGAAGAACAGTGGCATCTACATCTGCAGAACGTTGAAGAACCAGTGGCATCCTACATCTGCCAGAACGTGAAGAACAGTGGCTATCTACATCTGCAGAACGTGAAGAACCAGTGGCATCTACACTCTGCAGAACGTGAAGAACCAGTGGCATCTACATCTGCAGAACGTGAAGAACCAGTGGCATCTACATCTGCAGAACGTGAAGAACCAGTGGCATCTACATCTGCAGAACGTGAAGAACCAGTGGCATCTACATCTGCAGAACGTGAAGAACCAGTGGCATCTACATCTGCAGAACGTGAAGAACCAGTGGCATCTACATCTGCAGAACGTGAAGAACCAGTGGCATCTACATCTGCAGAACGTGAAGAACCAGTGGCATCTACATCCTGCAGAACGTGAAGAACCAGTGGCATCTACATCTGCAGAACGTGAAGAACCAGTGGCATCTACATCTGCAGAACGTGAAGAACCAGTGGCATCTACATCTGCAGAACGTGAAGAACCAGTGGCATCTACATCTGCAGAACGTGAAGAACCAGTGGCATCTACATCTGCAGAACGTGAAGAACCAGTGGCATCTACATCTGCAGAACGTGAAGAACCAGTGGCATCTACATCTGCAGAACTGAAGAACCAGTGGCATCTACATCTCAGAACGTGAAGAACCAGTGGCATCTACATCCTGCAGAACGTGAAGAACCAGTGGCATCTACATCTGCAGAACGTGAAGAACCAGTGGCATCTACATCTGCAGAACGTGAAGAACCAGTGGCATCTAGCATCGTAGCAGAATCGTTAAGAACCAGTGGCATCGTACATCTTCAGACGTGAAGAACCAGTGGCACTACATCTGGTCAGAGACGTGAAGAACCAGTGGCAAATCTGGAGAACGTGAAGCTAACCAGTGGCATACAATGCAGAGCGTGAAGAACCAGTGTCATCCTACACTAGCAGAACGTGAAGAACCAGTGGCATCTACATCTGCAGAACGTGAAGAACCAGTGGCATCTACATCTGCAGAACGTGAAGAACCAGTGGCTATCTACATCTGCAGACGTGAAGAATCCAGTGGCATCTACATCTAGCAGAGCGTGAAGAACCAGTGGCATCTACATCCTGCAGAACGGTGACAGAACCAGTGGCATCTACATCTAGCAGAGCGTGAAGTAACCAGTGGCATCTACATCGACAGACGTGAAGAACCAGTGGCATCTACATCTAGCAGAACGTGAAGAACCAGTGGCATCTATCTACATCTAGCAGACGTGAAGAAACCAGTGATCCTACATCGTAGAACGTGAAGAACCAGTGGCATCGACATCTGTAGAACGTGAAGAACCAGTGGCATCTACATCTACAGAACGTGAAGAAAACCAGTGGCATTCTACATCTGCAGAACGTGAAGAACCAGTGGCATCTACATCTGCAGAACGTGGAAGAACCAGTGGCATCTACATCTGCAGAACGTGAAGAAACCAGTGGCATCTACATCTGCAGAACGTGAAGAACCAGTGGCATCTACATCTGCAGAACGTGAAGAACCAGTGGCATCTACATCTGTAGAACGTGAAGAACTAGTGGCATCTACATCTGTAGAACGTGAAGAACCAGTGGCATCTACATCTGTAGAACGTGAAGAACCAGTGGCATCTACATCTGCAGAGCGTGAAGAACCAGTGGCATCTACATCTGCAGAACGTGAAGAACCAGTGGCATCTACATCTGCAGAACGTGAAGAACCAGTGGTATCTACATCTGTAGAACGTGAAGAATCAGTGGCATCTACATCTACAGAACGTGAAGAACCAGTGGCATCTACATCTGCAGAACGTGAAGAACCAGTGGCATCTACATCTGCAGAGCGAGAAAAACCAGTGGCATCTACACCTGCAGAACATAAAGAACCAGTGGCATCTACATCTGCAGAACGTGAAGAACCAGTGGTATCTACATCTGCAGAGCGTGAAGAACCAGTGGCATCTACATCTGTAGAACGTGAAGAACCAGTGGCATCTACATCTGCAGAACGTGAAGAACCAGTGGTATCTACATCTGTAGAACGTGAAGAACCAGTGGCATCTACATCTGTAGAACGTGAAGAACCAGTGGCATCTACATCTGCAGAACCAGTGGCATCTACATCTGCAGAACGTGAAGAACCAATGGCATCTACATCTGCAGAACGTGAAGAACCAGTGGCATCTACATCTGCAGAACGTGAAAAATCAGTGGCATCTACATCTGTAGAACGTGAAGAATCAGTGGCATCTACATCTGCAGAACGTGAAGAACCAGTGGCATCTACATCTGCAGAACACGAAGAACCAGTGGCATCTACATCTCCAGAGCGAGAAGAACCAGTGGCATCTACATCTACAGAACGTGAAGAACCAGTGGCATCTACATCTGCAGAGCGAGAAGAACCAGTGGCATCTACATCTGCAGAACGTGAAGAACCAGTGGTATCTACATCTGTAGAACGTGAAGAATCAGTGGCATCTACATCTGTAGAACGTGAACCGTGGCTTACATCTGTAACGTGCATCTACATCTGTAGAACGTGAAGAACCAGTGGCATCTACATCTGTAGAACGTGAAGAACCAGTGGCATCTACATCTGTAGAACGTGAAGAACCAGTGGCATCTACATCTGCAGAACGTGAAGAACCAGTGGTATCTACATCTGTAGAACGTGAAGAACCAGTGGCATCTACATCTGTAGAACGTGAAGAACCAGTGGTATCTACATCTGCAGAACGTGAAGAACCAGTGGCATCTACAGAACGTGAAGAACCAGTGGCATCTACATCTGCAGAACGTGAAGAACCAGTGGCATCTACATCTGCAGAGCGTGAAGAACCAGTGGCATCTACATCTGTAGAACGTGAAGAACCAGTGGCATCTACATCTGTAGAACGTGAAGAACCAGTGGCATCTACATCTGCAGAACGTGAAGAACCAGTGGTATCTACATCTGTAGAACGTGAAGAACCAGTGGCATCTACATCTGTAGAACGTGAAGAACCAGTGGCATCTACATCTGCAGAACGTGAAGAACCAGTGGCATCTACAGAACGTGAAGAACCAGTGGCATCTACATCTGCAGAACGTGAAGAACCAGTGGCATCTACATCTGCAGAACGTGAAGAACCAGTGGCATCTACATCTGTAGAACGTGAAGAACCAGTGGCATCTACATCTGTAGAACGTGAAGAACCAGTGGCATCTACATCTGCAGAACGTGAAGAACCAGTGGTATCTACATCTGTAGAACGTGAAGAACCAGTGGCATCTACATCTGTAGAACGTGAAGAACCAGTGGCATCTACATCTGCAGAACGTGAAGAACCAGTGGCATCTACAGAACGTGAAGAACCAGTGGCATCTACATCTGCAGAACGTGAAGAACCAGTGGCATCTACATCTGCAGAACGTGAAGAACCAGTGGCATCTACATCTGTAGAACGTGAAGAACCAGTGGCATCTACATCTACAGAACATGAAGAACCAGTGGCATCTACATCTACAGAACGTGAAGAACCAGTGGCATCTACATCTACAGAACGTGAGAAACCAGTGGCATCTATACCTGCAGAACATGAAGAACCAGTGGCATCTACATCTACAGAGCGAGAAGAACCAGTGGCATCTACATCTGTAGAACGTGAAGAACCAGTGGCATCTACATCTGTAGAACGTGAAGAACCAGTGGCATCTACATCTGCAGAACGTGAAGAACCAGTGGCATCTACAGAACGTGAAGAACCAGTGGCATCTACATCTGCAGAACGTGAAGAACCAGTGGCATCTACATCTGCAGAACGTGAAGAACCAGTGGCATCTACAGAACAGGGGAGGAGACGAGAGGAGGAGGAGAGACAGAGAAGGGCGGGCGGCGAAGAGAAAGGAAGACAGCGCGCGAGTCTGTGACGTGGGTCGCTCTACGCGCAGCAAACGCACGGAGAGACACGGAGAGACACGAGAGACACGGAGAGACACGGAGAGACACGGAGAGACACGAGAGACACGGAGAGACACGAGAGACACAGAACGGCCTTGAGGGTTTTATTTGTATTCTTGGTCCTTTTGGTAAAGTTACGTAGAAGGGAAATAATAAAATAAGAAAAATAAAACAATAAAATAATTTTCACGACGTTTCGGCCACAACGCAAGCAGCCGTCCTCAGGTGAAAACCAGGTCTGTCGGGGAGACAGCGTCTGAATGAAACAGCACACGGGCTTGGAGCATATATATAAGCTGGGCGCCTTGACAAAAGAATTTGCTTATCAAGAGTCATTTAGCATATTTATGGGAAATGCAGGAATGTGACTAGTACTACTTATGCCCGTGCATTATGCAGGATTAGCATTCAGACGCTGTCTCCCCTACGTGGTGACTTTACCGAAAAACCTAAGAGTATGAATCCTTGCAGTCACGAAAGCTTCAAATCTAAAACAAACCTTGTTGGCCGAGGCGACGGCGTCATTGCGTGCGACGCTGACAGGCTTTGCCCGAGGCAAGGCCGGAGAAACTTCCAGACCTCAAGAGGCAAATACCCCCCCACTCCTCCCCCCTTCTCTATTCAATGCGGGTCCCCCCACCCCCCCACCGCCCCCCCCACCCCCCTCAGTTTGACACGAAACTCCACAGCGACACGGCAAGTCCCCGCGCCGTTATCTTGCGGAACGTGGCACCGTTCGGCTCGTAAACAAGAAAAACCCGTAAAAACAAAGTTTTTCACTACAAATCCTTTATATGCGTGGAATCGGGGCGGCTAGAGTCCTCTCGTCCTCTGGCTTGAGACGGCTGCCACCTATAGGTCAGATGATTGTCTGGCAGCATTAAACAATTGGTAATTAAATATATATATATTTTCCTAAACAGTGTAAAATTTTGGAATTTTTTTTCTCACGAAAATGCATTGTCACGCACAACGAGTCTGTGTGCAAAATGTCAGCTCGATTGGATCACGGAAAGTGGGTTAAAAAACGACCGAAAGATTTGCACGGTCCTAAGCAAGCAAGCGAGTGAACTTAATATAAAGGATTTAAAAAAAAACACCGGCTCGCTGACAAACCGACAGACCTCCGGAAGACGAATTCGCTCGCGAGTAGAGGGAGTCCCTGCGACAAGCCAATTCGTGACTCGCGAAGGCAGGAAACCCCCCCTCGCCGTGCCCCGCCCACCCCAGCAAGCCACGCCCCCCTCGTTTAGCTCGCGATCGCCGCGAGGTCAAAATGCGCAAAAAAAACATAAAAAAGCAAAAAACGGCGGATTTTAAAGATTTGATTCTCTAATCCGAACCCCCGACAACTGAACAAACCTTTTTTGCCCGACTAGCTCGCTCGCTCGCTCACCCCGCCGCCGATTCCACCGTCAGCCGATCGCGCGTCGGGGTGGAGGGCGGGGCGAGAGAGGCACGCGCGGTACATGCGCTACCGGAGCTACGCGTTTAAACATTTTAAATCGTGATCGCACATCTATCTGGAACCACCACCACCCACCCCACCGCTACCCACTCTCTCTCTCTCTCTCTCCGGAGTACCATTTACCGTAGATTTGAAGCTTTCGTGACTGCAAGGGTTCATATTCTTAGGTTTTTACGGTAAAGTCACCGTGTAGGTAAAACATTAAAATTAATAAATAAATAAATAAAATAAAACAAAAATCACGGTCCCACCTGATGACGGAGACTTGTGTTGCCTCCGAAACGTCGTGATTTTTGTTTTATTTTATTTATTTTTATTAATTTTGATGTTTTACCTACACGGTGACTTTACCGAAAAAACCTAAGAATACCATTTACCGATTCGCGCCAATAACATTTATTGCACTAGGGGGTGGCGGGGGGTGGCGGGGAGGGAGCGTTACATTTGCTACGATGAAAAGCATCGTAAAAAAATAAGTGTATACGTACAACTATTCTCTAATACAATCGAGCCTCAAGGGATCAGACGGCCCCCTGCCGACCAATCGCGGTCTCTCGCTCGCCCCCCCCTCCGCCCCCCTCCACCAAGGGGCCGCTGCTACACGAGACGGGGCGTCTGGCGCGAGAAAGCAACGAGCGCAACTCTATTCTGCCTCCGCATATAAAAACAAACTTTGCCTAACGCCTACGCGTCTTCTTTCACGCGCCAATTTTACTAAAGTTCAGCTCACGCGAGAACTAAGCGTTTGTTAAACACGTGGCGGCGGCGGTGGCGGCGGTGACGACGACGCAGGCGGTAATCTCCAGCGACACGTCGTACGTGTAATATTGTCGGAGTTTGTGCTCGCGACGTCAACATTCCGGTTTTTTTGCCGACAGACCAACTGAAATGGCGTGCGCGCGTGTGCGTGGAGTTTTTTCCGCACCGCACGTAGTCGGCCGTGCTGATCGGAGGTGCGTTGGAAGGACAACAAAACCAAACACAAGAATCACTTCTAGAGAAATTGGTTCTCAATCGTGACCTTACCGAACGAACCAAAGAGTACGGATCCTTGCAGTCACGAAAACTTCAAGCTCCAGTTGGCTTCCTAATATCGGGCGCACGAGACGGGGAAGTGGCGATGGGGGCGATGTCGACGGAACCGCGGCGGATTCGCCCCGAGGCCCGAGCCCCGTCGTCGCCGCCGCTGCCGCCGCTGCCTTGCGAGCGGCGCTCTCACACGCCGCTCTACTCCATCACGCGGCCGTCCGCTCGCTCGTAGGGCGGCCTGCCCGGGGGGGCGCCCCTCGGCCCGCCGGGGCCCGTCGGCCCGCCCGGGGCCGGGCGTCGCAGAGCCGCCAGGAGGCCGTCGGAGGGCGTCGCCGCAGAGCCGATGGAGGTGCGGGTGCTGGGCGGGTCGTGGGTCGCGGGCGGGAGGCTCGTCGACGCGGGGAGGCAGTCGTCCATCCTGCGGTGGGAGGCGAGAGAGCGGAGGGAGGGAGGTGAGGGAGGGAGGTGAGGGAGGTGAGGGAGGCGAGGGAGGGAGGGAGGCGAGAGAGGGAGCAGAGAGAGCGGAGGGAGGGAGGGAGAGAGGGAGGGAGGGGAGGGAGGGAGAAAGCAGAGAGAGCGGAGGGAGGGAGGGAGATAGGGAGGGAGGGGAGGGAGGGAGCAGAGAGAGTGGGTGGGTGAGTGGGTGAGTGGGTGAGTGGGTCAGTGGGTGAGTGGGTGAGTGGGTGAGTGGGTCAGTGGGTGAGTGGGTCAGTGAGTGAATGGGTGAGTGGGTGGGTGAGTGGGTTGAGTGAGTGAATGGGTGAGTGAGTGGGTGGGTGAGTGGGTGAATGGGTGAGTGAATGGGTGAGTGGGTGAGTGGGTGGGTGAGTGGGTGAGCGAGTGAGCGGGTGAGTGGGTGAGCGAGTGAGTGGGCGAGTGGGCAAGCGGGTCAGTGGGTGAGTGGGTCAGTGGGTGAGTGGGTCAGTGGGTGAGTGAGTGGGTGAGTGGGTGAGTGGGTGAGTGGATGAGTGGGCGAGTGAGCGAGTGAGTGGGTGAGTGAGTGGGTGGGTGAGTGGGTGAATGGGTGAGTGAATGGGTGAGTGGGTGAGTGGGTGGGTGAGTGGGTGAGCGAGTGAGCGGGTGAGTGGGTGAGCGAGTGAGTGGGCGAGTGGGCAAGCGGGTCAGTGGGTGAGTGGGTCAGTGGGTGAGTGGGTCAGTGGGTGAGTGAGTGGGTGAGTGGGTGAGTGGGTGAGTGGGTGAGTGGATGAGTGGGCGAGTGAGCGAGTGAGTGGGTGAGTGAGTGGGTGAGCGAGTGAGTGGGCGAGTGGGTCAGTGGGTGAGCGAGTGAGTGGGTGAGCGAGTGAGTGGGCGAGTGGGTCAGTGGGTGAGCGAGTGGGTGGGTGAGCGAGTGGGTGGGTGAGTGGGTGAGTGGGCGAGCGGGGGAGTGGGTGAGTGGGTGGGTGAGTGGGTTGAGTGAGTGAGTAAGCGAGTGGGTGAGTGGGTGGGTGAGTGGGTTGAGTGAGTGGGTGAGTGAGTGGGTGAGTGGGTGAGTGGGTGGGTGAGTGGGTTGAGTGAGTGGGTGGGTGAGTGAGTGAGTGAGTAGGTGAGTTAGTGACTGAGTGGGTGAGTGAGTGGGTGAGCGAGTGAGTGGGTGAGTGAGTGGGTGAGCGAGTGAATGACTGGGTGAGCGAGTGGGTGGGTGAGTGAGTGAGTGAGTGGGTGAGTGAGTGGGTGAGTGAATGGGTGAGTGAATGGGTGAGTGAGTGAGTAAGCGAGTGGGTGAGTGGGTGGGTGAGTGGGTTGAGTGAGTGGGTGAGTGAGTGGGTGAGTGGGTGAGTGGGTGGGTGAGTGGGTTGAGTGAGTGGGTGAGTGAGTGAGTGAGTAGGTGAGTTAGTGACTGAGTGGGTGAGTGAGTGGGTGAGCGAGTGAGTGGGTGAGTGAGTGGGTGAGCGAGTGAGTGGGTGAGTGAGTGGGTGAGTGAATGGGTGAGTGAATGGGTGAGTGAGTGAGTAAGCGAGTGGGCGAGCGAGTGAGTGAGTGAGTGGGCGAGTGTGCGAGGGAGCGGGTGGGCCGTCACCAGACGTCGTTGCGACGGTCGTGGTGCCGCCCCGGCTTGCGCTTGAGCAGCCGGTACCAGAGGAGGAAGCCGGTCGCAGCGACGACGAGCAGCACGCCCATCAGGGCGCCCGGCACGAGGCCGGCGTCACTGCTCGCTGCACGCGGCACACGCACACACGCACACATCACACACACACACACGCACACATCACACACACACACACGCACACACACACGCACACATCACACGCACACACACACGCACACACACACGCACACACACACGCACGCACACACGCACACACACACGCACGCACACACACGCGCACACACACACACACACGCACACACACACACGCACACACACACACACGCACACACACACGCATCACACACACACACACGCATCACACACACACACGCACACACACACACACGCATCACACACACACACGCACACACACACGCACACACACACACACGCACACACACACACACGCACACACACACACACGCACACACACACTCACACACACACACACGCACACACACACGCACACGCACACACACACACACGCATCACACACACACACGCACACACACACACACGCACACACACACACACACACGCACACACACACACACGCACACACACACGCACACACACACACACACACGCACACACACACACACACGCGCGCACACACACACACGTACACACACACACGCGCGTGTGGGCGTAGCGAGAGTCGGACTCACGTGTCACGACGGACAGCAGGACGACGCACGACCTCCAGCCCACGCGGTTGCTCGCGTTGCACCGGTACAGCCCCGAGTGGCTAACACTCACGTCCCTGATGCGCAGCGTTCCTCCTGCGCTCAACAAGCGGAAATATCCCACCGCCCTCCTGTGGGTCTCTATGCGAGACTATGGGTCTCTGTGTGAGTCTATGGGTCTCTGTGTGAGTCTGTGGGTCTCTATGTGAGTCTATGGGTCTCTATGGGTCTCTATGCGACACTACGGGTCTCTATGTGAGTCTATGGGTCTCTATGCGAGACCACGGGTCTCTGTGTGAGTATATGGGTCTCTGTGTGAGTCTATGGGTATCTGTGTGAGTCTATGGGTCTCTGTGTGAGTCTATGGGTATCTGTGTGAGTCTGTGGGTCTCTGTGTGAGTCTGTGGGTCTCTGTGTGAGTCTATGGGTCTCTGTGTGAGTCTGTGGGTCTCTATGCGAGACTATGGGTCTCTGTGTGAGTCTGTGGGTCTCTGTGTGAGACTATGGGTCTCTGTGTGAGACTATGGGTCTCTGTGTGAGTCTGTGGGTCTCTATGCGAGACTATGGGTCTCTGTGTGAGTCTGTGGGTCTCTGTGTGAGACTATGGGTCTCTGTGTGAGACTATGGGTCTCTGTGTGAGTCTGTGGGTCTCTATGCGAGACTATGGGTCTCTGTGTGAGTCTGTGGGTCTCTGTGTGAGACTATGGGTCTCTGTGTGAGACTATGGGTCTCTGTGTGAGTCTGTGGGTCTCTGTGTGAATCTGTGGGTCTCTGTGTGAGTCTATGGGTCTCTGTGTGAGACTCTGGGTCTCTGTGTGAGTCTGTGGGTCTCTGTGTGAGACTCTGGGTCTCTATTAGAGTCTATGGGTCTCTGTGTGAGTCTATGGGTCTCTGTGTGAGTCTGTGGGTCTCTATGTGAGTCTATGGGTCTCTATGCGAGACCACGGGTCTCTGTGTGAGTATATGGGTCTCTGTGTGAGTCTATGGGTATCTGTGTGAGTCTATGGGTCTCTGTGTGAGTCTATGGGTATCTGTGTGAGTCTGTGGGTCTCTGTGTGAGTCTGTGGGTCTCTGTGTGAGTCTATGGGTCTCTGTGTGAGTCTGTGGGTCTCTGTGTGAGTCTATGGGTCTCTGTGTGAGTCTATGGGTCTCTGTGGGAGTCTGTGGGTCTCTGTGTGAGACTATGGGTCTCTGTGTGAGTCTATGGGTCTCTGTGTGAGTCTATGGGTCTCTGTGCGAGTCTATGGGTCTCTGTGGGAGTCTGTGGGTCTCTGTGTGAGACTATGGGTCTCTGTGTGAGTATATGGGTCTCTGTGTGAGTCTATGGGTCTCTGTGCGAGTATATGGGTCTCTGTGTGAGTCTATGGGTCTCTATGTGAGTCTATGGGTCTCTGTGTGAGTCTGTGGGTCTCTGTGTGAGTCTGTGGGTCTCTGTGTGAGACTATGGGTCTCTGTGTGAGTCTATGGGTCTCTGTGTGAGTCTATGGGTCTCTGTGCGAGTATATGGGTCTCTGTGTGAGTCTATGGGTCTCTATGTGAGTCTATGGGTCTCTATGTGAGTCTATGGGTCTCTGTGTGAGTCTGTGGGTCTCTGTGTGAGTCTGTGGGTCTCTGTGTGAGTCTGTGGGTCTCTGTGTGAGACTCTGGGTCTCTATTAGAGTCTATGGGTCTCTGTGTGAGTCTGTGGGTCTCTATGTGAGTCTATGGGTCTCTATGTGAGTCTATGGGTCTCTATGTGAGTCTATGGGTCTCTGTGTGAGTCTGTGGGTCTCTGTGTGAGTCTGTGGGTCTCTGTGTGAGACTATGGGTCTCTGTGCGAGTATATGGGTCTCTGTGTGAGTCTATGGGTCTCTGTGTGAGTCTATGGGTCTCTGTGCGAGTATATGGGTCTCTGTGTGAGTCTATGGGTCTCTGTGTGAGTCTGTGGGTCTCTGTGTGAGTCTATGGGTCTCTATGTGAGTCTATGGGTCTCTATGTGAGTCTATGGGTCTCTGTGTGAGTCTGTGGGTCTCTATGTGAGTCTGTGGGTCTCTTTGGGTGTCTGTGCGAGTCTATGGGTCTCTGTGTGAGTCTATGGGTCTCTATGTGAGTCTATGGGTCTCTGTGTGAGACTATGGGTCTCTATGGGTCTCTGTGTGAGTATATGGGTCACTGTGTGAGTCTGTGGGTCTCTATGAGAGTCTATGGGTCTCTGTGTGAGTCTATGGGTCTCTGTGTGAGTCTGTGGGTCTCTATGTGAGTCTATGGGTCTCTATGTGAGTATATGGGTCTCTGTGTGAGTCTATGGGTCTCTATGGGAGTCTATGGGTCTCTGTGTGAGACTGTGGGTCTCTATGCGAGTCTATGGGTCTCTATGTGAGTCTATGGGTCTCTGTGTGAGACTATGGGTCTCTGTGTGAGTCTGTGGGTCTCTGTGTGAGTCTATGGGTCTCTATGTGAGTCTATGGGTCTCTATGAGAGTCTATGGGTGTCTGTGCGAGTCTATGGGTCTGTGTGAGTCTATAGGTCTCTATGCGAGTCTATGGGTCTCTGTGTGAGTCTGTGGGTCTCTATGCGAGTCTATGGGTCTCTGTGTGAGTCTATGGGTCTCTATGTGAGTCTATGG